GTAGAAGGGGAGCACTTCTTCATCCCCTAAAGGGGAACCGAAGGGGGAAGTCATCTTCTTCTTCATCCCCTAAAGGGGAACACCTATTTTTGGCTATTTAAAGATGTGACTGTGACATTTACAACAAAGCATATAATGAACTTGTGGCTCCGACTGCGAGGTACCCAGTTCAGAGGGATCCCGCTCCAAGACAACGAAAGGCGCCTTATAAACGAGAGTCCCTTTGCGCAACCACAGGGTGCACGACTCGAAACTAAGGACGCCCCTTTACCGCGAGAATGTAGAGGACCCTATGACGTACGTGGCCGGTGCAGGCAACTCAGGCAACACGTACGGATGCACTGTTAGTCGCAAAGGTCCCGCGGAAAGACGCAGAGTAACCCGATCCAAGATAGCCTGCTTATCCCCATTCACGAGCGTAACATGCAACCAGGAACAGGCACTAGGCGTCAGCCCAAGCCGCTTCACCTCAGAGAAATAAAGTCGTCGCTGGCGCCAGAATCAGCAAGCGCAAGCAGAGTACAGTTGACGACGCGGACTTGGACAAGAGGCACCTCTGAACCTGGCAGAGCTGCAGACTGAGGAGAGAGCAGGAAAGCCGAAAGACTAGGTGAAGTGTCACGCAATTCAACAGCGGGCCACAGGAGATCGTACCAAACGTCAAAGGCAAACATTGACCCAGGAAACTGCACAGGCCGACCCTCCAGATCGAGTCGATTGAACAGCGGTGTTCTTGGAATAAACTGCAGAACGCGCTGCATCCCGGCCAGCAGGGCCGAAGCACAGTGTGTGGTGTAGGTAGGCGTAATGATACACGCTGCAGTTTCCGAGTGCTGACGTTCGCAGAGGTGGTGCGCAATCAGCTGCGTCTGCAACTCTGAAATGGAAGAGGGGAGGAAGAGGACCGTATGCCCGTGCAGGTCGTTAGCAGAGAGAGACTGGAAACGCGGCACAAGCGGATTACACAAGGCATCCCAGTCACTCTTCACAGAACAAGCATCAAACGTCAGTTTTCGTCCAATAGCTCTCTCAACCTGCGCTAACACAGAGGGCAGCTTTGCCCTGGAAGCCCGCATGGCAGGCAGCTCGGTCTCTACATCTAACCCAGGAGGAGTCCCCTCCTCAGCAGCCTGTGCAACCCCCTACTTCTTCTTGAGCCACAACGGGCAAGCCCCCGTCGGATGGCCATCCCCGCAACGCAAGCACTTATTCCTCTTTCTGCGCTCCTCAAGCTCTGACTTAGTGCAGCAATACTTCTCTAGCCACTGGTCTTCGTCAGGTTTACATTTCTGTCCCAACTGCTGACTAGGCCCAGCCCCGGAAGGTACCTGATTACTTCTAAGACCCTTGGGTTGCCACCGGCGCTGTTCCCGGCGACCACCCCCCCTTTGGCTTACCGGCACCCGGGGCGGCAACTGTGCCACCCTCTCTGCGCTCGGGACCCTCGACAGCGACGGCAGCGCGAGGGACGGGTGCCAGCACCGCAGCAGGGGCGCCAACCGGGTTCAGCTATGGGGCCTGCAAAACAAGGGCATTAGCACGGGGAACAGAACAAAAAAAGCTTGCTTTCGGGCAAGGAGGCGCATTTCTGCACCCAAAGCAAAGCGGTAAAGGTGGTTGTAAGAGGAAAAGGGCATTCCTAGAAGGTCGGTAGCGCATTCACCGATGAGTTCCTCAGATAGTCCACGTTGAAACCAGAAAATCCTATCTCCTTCTGAAAAATCTGCAATAGGCGTAATAAGCGCCTCCAAACGCGACTGGTAGGAAGAGACGTTCTCGCCAGAGCGCATACGGTAATTACCACTCGCGAGAACGGAGCGAGCTTTCACGTCGCGGGGCAAGACTTCAGGAGCAAAACGGGCAAGTAACGCAGCAAACAGCTCGTCCGACGTAAACGAAATCCGTGCCGTTGACCACGGATCTTGCCAAGCTTTGGCGGCACCGTCCAAAACGTTGGCGATGAACCGGTTCCCGATCACCACCCCGAACTAGCTGAAGATACTGCTTCGCATCCCTGACGAATGCGCGCGTACTATCTGCCGCAGCCCAACCTAAGTCGCGAGATCGAAGGTCGGAAGGAAAGTTCAACCTAGGGACTGGGACGGAAAGTCTAAGTACAACAACGTCCTGAACGGGTAGAAATGCAGCAGCGCCACCAGCACCATGGACGGAAGAGGCTATAAACAACGGCGGCGGCGGAACAGCGGCGACAGGCGTGGGATCCTGCCCTACGTGAGGAACTGGGGCAGCGACAGGGTTGATAGGAATCACCGGGGCAGGGATAGGGATCGTCCGCGCGGGACCACCCCCACCGACTAAATCAGGCGGACCCCAGTGATTGCGCCTAACCCCATCTGCTATGTTCCAGGAAGGGGGAACAACACTGAAAGCTCCCTGCTGACCATCAACGAGGACAGGTCAGGGCGCGTTTCCGGAGTTGGCTGGAAAGCTCCGTCAGTGTGCCAAAAAAGTATCTATGGGGACGGATACAATGTAAATAAATACATAAATACATAATACATAATACATACACACCCACCCGTCAGGTGGCCCGAGTGGTTCGTCCCGCCTCGGCGGGGGGTCGGGTTCTGCTGCTGGAGCACTGCCGCTCCGACAACCCGCTTCTGGCGGCGTACCAAGATGTCACGGCGGGGCCTGTGGCGGCGCTGGGTAAGGGCTGTGTTTGGAACCAGGAGGTGGAGGCGATGGCGGTGAGGGCGGGGCTGCAGGTGGTGGTTTCGGAGCGAGCCGCTGCCGGCACTGTGGAGCTGCTGGTGGCGGTCAAACAGCCTTGAACGAGCAGCTTCGTTAGCGTAATATTATCCTTTCGTTGTTGAAAGGGAACATGTTTTGTTTGCTTTTGTATGTGTTTCTGCATAAATGTTTGTGCGTGTGCGTAGATGTGTTTATGTTTGTGTGTGTGTGTTTGTGTGTGTGTGTGTGCATATCTATCTGTGCGTAGTCTGTATGTATGTAAGGAAGGGGAAGGACTTTTCAGGTGATGTCCGGACACAATAAAATGTGCGTGCCTCATATTGGGCATGTAGGTGTATAACGATTGTGGGTGTACGAGTTTGTAATGTGTACGAAGGACGAGCAGTCAGGAGGAGAGAGACACAGAGAGAGGGGAGACTGTTTCTGTTGCTACCTCTCCTGGTAACTGTTGTCGTACGCAGGACTTGTTCCCGTACGATAAAGTACGACAAGATGTGCGAATTTCGCACTGGCACCCGGATACTATGTTTTCCTGGAAGCCTAAATCGTGCCCAGCATGATGAATAGCATGGCTAGTTTTGGGGGTGAATTGCAATCTTTGCAGCAGCTCATCACATGTTCTGCTATGTCTGCTAACGAATGAGCGCATCTTAGCTATTTGGGTGGGCGCTGAACTCCATCCCTTTACCACTCCTTCACTTCCTTTCATCACTTTCTACATGGGTCTGAAAAATGTCCTTGTATGCAGTGCCAATTTTACGACGTCACGCTCAGGTAAGTTATACGACAGTCGAACGCACCTGCACAAGTCCCTGCCGCTGTACATTTCCCCCCAGAGCGCCGTACTTCCTCACTCCAATCAAAACGCACAACGAAGCAAAACCAGGGCCGCTCCCGCAGGGTAGGATTCCTAGTGCCGTACTGTATACGGCAGAACTGCAGTGCCGCTCATAAACAGCTGTCGTACGAATGTACGACGAGAACGTCACATTGGGCTTTTACTTCTCCTTCCTCCTCTCCTACCTCTCCTTCCTCCTCGCCCTCGTCAACCAGCGGTTGGGGATCATTATCGCTGCCCACGATGCTATCAGTGAAAGTGTCCTCACCGGCCGCGCCTGCCTCAGCAGCAGGGGTCGTCCCGATGGGAAATGCAGGGATGAACACAGCCAGAAAATCTGCGAGCTCTGTTGGGGACTCTGCTACGGGGTAAATCTAATTGATTGGCCCCTTGTTTCATATTCTGGCTCCGTGGTTGCGTGCAACGCTGACGAATGACTAGGTTTCCAACGCGTTGAAGGGGATTGGGTTGAGAGCGCCAAAGGCTTTGGCTTGCGTTCGACCATTCAGCGGATGGGCGGATGGGCGGTCACCGAGTTGCGGGAACGACAGTACGGACTCCGCTCGCCACGCTCAGTGGGATGTCTGGGCCAGTGACGGTCAGTGTCTTTCTAGAGGTGCCTAATCCACAAAATTCCCTTCGAGTTCACAGCTATTGATGATAGAAGACTAAACATGCCGCAAGAGGGCTCCGAGCGTTTGCAAGATGGTGCTCAAGCAGGGCCCAGCGACCCACAGGAAGAAACAGATTTTATTCCTAGTGACTCATTTACAGGCGCTAGAGCGGGCTATGTCTTTAAGAAGGATGACGCGGGCATCGGCTACTACAAGGACATCCCTTTAGCAGAGAGACTCAAGGCCGCAGCTGAAGCTCAAAAGGCAAAGCCTATCGTCGTGAAGGCCAACAACTCCTTGCTGAAGTCGCTGCAAAAGCGCGGACCTGCAATGTCAATACCTTCGGGTGTCCCCAAAAAAGCCAAGACAGGTGGGAACTCCTCGCTAATTTTGTAACTGCAGGATTGCTTGGGAAATACAAAGGCTCTCAAATTTGGTGTTTTCAGTTAAGTCCACCTTGCTAACAAAAAAGGCATTGTCCGTTTGCTGCCGCACGCACGCGGGCACAAATCGCGCTGTTCAGACGACAACAAGGATGCTCCAAGGTACCTGAAGGAGATGGAGCGATACAAACAAATGTCTTGCGCGTCGGATACCAAGCACGACCGCCCTTTAGTGAAGTAGGTAGGAGTCGCACGGTCTGTCGCAGTAGTGTCCTGGGCACGGTGTTAGGGCGCTGGGAATCTTGTGGCCTGAGAAGGCCCCGCACCTCTGCCAACAAGACGGTGCTTGCTTTGCCGCCGAAGCTTCGTGTGCTTCTCCGCTAACCAGGCGGTGCTTGTTTTGCGGCTAAAGCTTCGTGGGCTTCTTTATGGGAAGCAAGCTTAATACGCTAGACTAGAGCGGACAGGTGACCGATTCTTGTTAGGGTTGTTGCGCATTTCTTTTAAGACCTACATGGTTTGCGGTCTTAGGGGCAAGTAGTCAGTCCTCAGTTTGCATACGCAAGACCGACTGCAGGGCAGCTGGCCTGCCCTGCCTTGCAGCAGTTGCTGGAGGCTGATGTAGAACTTGCACGACCCCGAGTGCTTTAGATGTACAAAGAGACGTTACATTTTGTGTTGACTCCTACTTTTCGTTCCAGCACGAGTGGCTGACGGTGACGTGCAGGGATGGTCAGGTCACGAACACAATATAAGGCAGAACGGTGGAGCCATGAGTGTTTTCGCAAGGTGTAGTGTACCTCTATGGCGTGAGGTTAACAGCAGACATTTAAATTCAGATGTGGGTTGCATCCCGTTGTTTTCTGTATGGAGTGTTTGGTGATTCCTCATCTACCTGCCTGTGGGGGCCCTTAGCTTCGCTCAGGGTCCTCATCCATTCAGGGGGCGCTCCTCGAGAACAAACGTGCTGAATTATGAAACACGCACATCTCACGTCTGGGCTGCAGCGCCTCGCCTTGCTACCACTCATCATTGAGCGGCGGCCACTGGGCAGGGATGCGGGGAGGTATGGTTCTACAAGTGTTGGCTGGGCCGGTACAGTATTTTTGGGACCGAGAGTATCTCGGATTCCGACGGGCCAGTTTCAGCCAGAATTGATCAAGAGATAAAAGAGGGGGGACAATCCTGCCGATGATAATTAGGCACATTCTGCTGTGAAGGTCGTGAGAAGTTAAAAGTTTCGGAGCGTTCAAGAGCAGGACAAGACATTGACGTGCATGATTGCATGGCGCCGGAGAGACGAGGAATGGAAAGAGTGGACGGTACAGGTTCCTGTTGTCGTACATTATTTCAGGAGCGGCGACAAGGACAAGGTTGATTTGAAGACTTTGCTTGTCGCGGCACGGCGGGTAGAAGTCGACATGGCCTTTCTCTTCTCACGCACTCATCTTCTCGTGCACCTAAATGAATCTCATATTGCGGCAGTCACGACACTGCTATGTATCAACTTGCCTCTTGATGAATTTGCGGAAATGTGGGATCGTTACTTTCTGCTCAAGCAGAACGAAAAATGAAAGCGAAAAAATGAAAGCACCGCTGAACATCATTTGAGCACAGGTCTCCATCTTATATAATGAATAAACAGCATCCTTCCCCTCCAAGTTCTATATCCTGTAGCAGATTTCGACGCAGAAACTTAAGTGGTTGACAGTTTGGAAGCCGCGTGCTGGATGCGATTGTTACAGTGGACCCCGAACGGGTCGAGTGCAGCGCCCATAGGAACGCCTCCCGCACAACACTGAGGAGCGTGCTGAGGAGCGTATCCAGAGGCCAAAAGTCCTACTAACTCTCTGCGATTAACGCGGGCGCCATGTTTCATTTGTGACATAGGCAGGCAATCCCTTGCCATTTAAGCTAGCTGAATACTTCTATGCAACAAGGACAAAAGACCCAAGACAATCAAAGCACTGACACTAACAACATGAAGAAGAGAACGACGGCCCTTGACATTTTCAATCCCCGCCCCCGACTCTATCGCCTAGGACACCAGCAATTTCGAACTTTGAATGCCGGCAGTTGAATGCCTTGCATATAATTTCCCCCCTTTCCCGACCCCAACGCTGAGGCTGAGATAACCCAGAGCGCCTATCGCTTGCGCGCATGTCGCCGTGCTTTCTTCCGCCCGTCTGATCTTATATTGAAAAGACCGCCACCCGCAGCTGTGCCCGTATCTCCATCACCCTCCTCGCCCTCGCCGGCGGCAGCTGCTGCATTGGCGGCGGCCCAGGCCCCAACCGACGGCGCCCAGGTACCCTGTGTAGCGATGTCCAACGCCGGGTTGTACGGCTGTACGACAACATCCGGCGCGAGGCGCTCGCCGTTGGTGCCGATGTGCAGCAGGTCGAAGCAATGTCTGTGTGTGTGTGTACAGCAGCGGGAAAGGGTTTCCCGGAGTTGTCCGCGGCTCATACAGTGGGGGACAGAGGAGGAGGAGGAGGAGGAGGAGGAACAGAAGCTTGCAGAAGGCTGGTTTGGGGCCACACTTGAAAGGCAGCTGTGTGTGGGTTTTGAGGGCTGTGAGGGGAGATGTGCGGCACACATGCGCCCGGGCTCGCTCGCTCATGACCCCGGAAACACCGAATACCAGAAACGAACTCTCAACCCTCATGTATATATACATTTTGCGTTTTAATGCCGTACGCTTTTGTCGTACTGCTACCTATGTGACGTGACTGATGTAAGCGGCGGCTCTAAGTACAGGCAGCCCTCCCATATTGTAGGTGGATGGATGGATGGATGGATGATGTGTGGGACAGGGGGGTCATATCTTCATCCTGCGGCCGCTACCCGGCAGACTCTGCCTTCCCCGGTATTTCGGGGCACCCTCATCCAGTCACCCTAGTCACCTTCTCAGTGGATCGCTCAGGTTCCGCACCCACCACCAGCATCAACCGGTGCGCGAGTCAACTTTATCCCAGGTCATCAACGTCCATCGACTAGGGGCACTTTTACCTTCCATCATCGGAAGGATTTTCGGCCCTGACAGGTCTCGATCCCGGGATCTCCCGGGGGCATTGCATGTACGTATGTACGTATGTACATATGTACCGCTCCTTCAAAACCTTCAAAAACCCACCACAAAAAAACCACGCAAAACGAAGCATCAGCACCCGCACCCGCCACCACACACACACACACACACAAACACCATCATCACCACCATCATCCCCGCCACCCCCGCCACCCACCCACCTGCACATGATGGCCGGGTTGGAGGGCGCCAACGGGTCATCGTGTGTCACCAGCTCCGCGTATCGGGCCTCACACAGCCCGCACCGCCGACGGGCGACGGGGGCACCTGCGCGGTCCCGGGCTCGCAGCCTCAGCGGGAAGGCCACTCGGCGGGCGGGGTCGCCTGGGTGCCACCTGGGTGGGGGGGGGGGGGGGGGGTGAGGGGTGTGTGAGGGGGGGGGAAGACCAGGGGGGAGGCGGGTTTTCTGAGGAGTGAGTGAGTTTAGCGCGGGCGATGAGGGGACGGGGTGCACCGCGGCGGGATGGATATTGAAAAACAAGTTTTGAGCGTGTGTGTGTATGTGCGTGTATGTGTGTGTGTATGTGAGTGTGTGCAACTTCAGTGTGCGCTTGCAAACGCGGATCATTTACCTTGTGTGCCCTGCCGCCGCCTGCCGCCGCCGCCACCCAACCCCCACGCACCTACAGGGTCGCGGCCCCTCTCACCCCTCTCCTCCCGCCGTAGGGGGGAGAGCGCTTCCTGGCGGTCATTATTCCCGTTGGGGTCTAAGGTTAGGTGCCCCGGGCCCGGGTCGATGTGTACAGGCAGTTGTGTAACAAATACACACATACGCACATACGCACGCGCATGCACGCACGCACAAACACACCCAGCCGGAACCCACCTGCGAACATCCCGCACGAAGAGGAGGTGCTCGCAGCAGGCTCGATGGCAGAACATGCCCGTGGGGTGGTTCGCCTGTCGCAACGTCAGCTCTGCGAACCGTGTGGTGTGCATGGCGCTAGGTGGAGGCAGCGGCCCGCCGTGGTGTCGGAGCAGCGCGGGCCGCCAGCCACGCTCCGGTCGTAGATACGTCGGGCGAACCCCGTGGGCCCTACGGGGCGGCAACGGTCGCAACGAGACGAGGAAGAGGAGGAGGATGCGAAGAGGATGTGTGAAAGATAAAAAATGGCAACAGTATTCCAGAGTTTAAACAAAAACTAATCCTACAGAAAAGTATCGATCCAATAAAAATACGCGGAATATGGGTTCATATATCATAAAATCTCCGAAGATACATCCTTACATCAAGCATGAACATGGATAGGGCTTAGGAGAGGTCTTCATTCTTCATTGTGCACTTCAAAATGCACAAAATGTAATATATATACGTACATATATATGTGTAAGTGGTACTCGAAAAACCCTGGAAAACCTTTATCCCCTCCTTTCCCCGCCTCGATAGGAAACCCACCTGCACATCTCCCTGATGGGCGCGGAGTAGTCCTCAGCGTCTGGGTGCCGTACATCCGTGTAGAAACGTCCCTCCAAGAAGACGTACGACCCGTGGCTAGGCGGCAATAACCCGCTTTCGAACGGCAGCGGCACCGCCGCCGCCGGCAATGCCGCTCCCGCGGCATCGCCGCTGCCGCTGCCGTTGCCGTGCCGGCTCCCAGAGCCATCCGCCGCCGGCGGCACCGCCACCCGTGCAGACACAGTATTTGCATTGCCGTCGGGCCCATCCGCGGCAGACGCAGCAATTCCGTCACCAACGCCGACAGCCGAATGCCGTACAGCTTCCGTCAGCGCCTCCGCCGGACCTCTTCCCGCCGCCAGATGCGGCGGCTGCGAACCCCCAGCTGCTCTACCACGGCCACGGCCACCCCGGGAGGCTCTGCGGCCGCCGCGGCCGCGGCCGGTGGCTGGCGCCGCCGGTGGCGGCAGCGCCGCCTCCTGCACCACCGAAGGCAGCGGCTGCGGCAGCGCCTGCGCCGCCTCCGCCGCCTGTCGCATGGCGTCCTCTGTCGCGCAGCCCAGCACATCTCGCAGCTCTGCTAGGCACTGCCCCCCCAGCACCAGGAACTCCTCGTGCAGCACCTGCGGCTGACCGGGGCCGCATACCACCACCCACAACACCAGCTCGTCCTGCGGGTGTGTGTGTGTGGGGGGGGGAGGGGGGTTGAGGTGACCGGGGCAGGGGGGGGGTAAGGATTATTGTATATAACAAAGACGGCGGGCTCCGTCAGCATACGTACACTATGGGAGGGACTGCCGGTACTTAGAGCCGCCGCTTACATCAGTCACGTCAGCATGGGTAGCAGTACGACAAAAGCGTACGGCATTTAAACCCAGAGGGGTTGTACGGGTCACTACGATGAGGTTTCAAGCGGGCAGAGCGACACCGCGATGTCGCACCGAGTCAGTTAACACCACCAAAAGAGCCGCCCGGAGGAGGAGGGAGAGAGAGGGAGAGGGGGAGAGAGAGAGACACACACACACACACAAACAGACACACACACACACACACACAAACACACGGAAAGAGAGCCGGGGGGGCCCCTGGAAGAGGGCGGGAGAGAGGGACACCGGGGGACACAGGGCACACACCCACTCACTCGAAGATCCTCCTCCGCTGACTGCTCCGCCCCCGTCAAACCGTACGACGGATTATGCCGTACGTACGGCAATCCAACCACTGGCGGCGCTGGCTGGTCAGGCCCGCTGACTGCCAGCTTTACCCGTTGCAGGGCCGCCACGGCGGACGGCGGCAACAGAACCCCAGATCTGCCGTCGCCGCCATCATCACCTTCGGCTGACGCTGCGCCGTACGCCCCTCCGGAACCCCCTCCCGCTGCCGTACAATTCCCCAGCTGCCGCCGCCGCCGCCGTGTCCTCCCTCCACCGCCGCCGCCGGCGATGCCGTCCTGCTCATCTTCATCGTACGGATCGGCGCCGTACTCACCGTCCAGCATCCGCCGCCGTACCCTCTCCCCCCGCTCCATCTCCTCCTCAAGCTCCCGCTGCTCCCGCTCCTCCTTCCCTTCTTCCTCCCCTTGCTGCTGCCCGCCCTCACCCTCCCCCTTCCCCGGATCGGTCCGTAGTACGGCTTTCAAGCTCTCCAACTTCGCCGCCGCCGCCGACATGCCCTGCCACCAAGCCAGCGAATCCTTCTCCTCCTGCTCCTCCTGCAGCTGGTGCTGCGCCCGCTGCCCCTCCTGCTGCTCTAGAGACGAACCTCTGACAGGATGGTCCCCTGGTCCCCTCGGGCCCTCACAGCCGCCGCCGCCGCCGCCTCCAACGACGCCAGCGCCAGCTACAGCGGGGCCGGCATCCACATTCAGAACTTCTCCTCCTGCAGCTGTAGCAGCACCGGCGGCAGCAACTGCGTTGGCCGCAGCTGTAGTAGCCACTGTAGCAGCAGCAGCAGCAGAGTCCGCGCTCTCAACGGGCTGTTGCTCCTGTTGCTGCTGCTGCCGCTTGGCCTTACCCCGCCGGCCGGGCCCTTGCTGTTTGGGCTGTAGCGGCTGCGGCTTGGCCATGTCCTGCTGCTGCTGCTGCTGCTGCTGCTGGCGACCCTGCATGGTGCTGACGGCGGCGGGACCCAGTAACGCATCTGTTGCTCCTCCTGCTGCGGCCACCGTGTCGTCGTCGGCGGTGGCGACGGCGACGGCGGCGTCGCGTCGCGTCGACAGTAGCGGTGATGAATCGTCGCGGAAGCGAGCTGGCACCGTGCGCCGCCGCTTCGCCGGGTGCCCCTCCCTACCTTGAGGCTGCTGCTGCAATTGCCGCCCTACCCCCCGTCCCTGCTGCTGCTGCTGGTGCTCCTGATCACCATGCTTCCCTTCCTGTTGATGATGCCCCTGCTCCTGCTCCTGCTCCTGCCCCTGCCCCTGCTCCTGCCCCTGCCCCTGCTGTCGGCGCTGCTGAAGTTGGTTCTGATGACGCGGCCCGGCTTCCCGCGGCCGTGGAGGTATCCGGTCCGAGGCCGCAGCTGCTACAACAGCCCTGAACCCACTACCGCTGCCAATCTCACCCTCCGCAAAGGTTCCGGAACCAGAGTACGGCTCCGGATCCATGCCCTGCGGCGCTTGGTCTGTAAGGTCTGTCGCCAACGCCGTGGCGGCGGCGGCCTCTTCCTCCGCCGCCACTGGCGCTGGGGCCGCCGCCACTGGCGCGGGGGCCCTGACGGCCAGAGCCGCTTCCGCCGGCTCGCTAGGGATCCCGGTGGTGGGGCCGGCGGCGGCGGCGGCGGAGGGCCCTTGTTGCGGAAGCGGCGGAACCCCCGGACCCAGGCTCCGAAACGTCGGTGAGATGCCGGGGGGTAGGGGTACGTGCAGACAAGACAGATCCAGATCCGCGCGCAGCTCCTCGTCATTGTCTTGTAGGTGGTCCGCACCTAGATCCAGACCTAGATCTGGATCCAAGCCTGAGTCCATGCCGCTCCCGCCAGCGCGGCGAAGGGCAGCCGCCTCCGTGCCCTGTCCCCGGGCGACCGTGGGGCGACGGCTACGCTTAGAAACAGTGGTAACATCGGACTCCCTTTCCCTACCTCACACACACACACAGACACAATCACCTACCTCTCGCTCAGGTAGCCTCAGGACGGCCTCCAGTTCCGCCACGGCCATTCGGCAGCGTTTGTCGTACTCGGAGACCCTGCAGTACGGTACGGTACGGTAAGGCAAGTCTGGATTTCGGCGAACAGGACGCGGGTGAACAGGAGGTCTTAATTCCGAAGACCGGGAGGTCCAGATTCGATCTAAATTGGATGAACAAAACACAAATTGCGACACGGGTGCGGCATGGCATGCGACGGCAGGGTGCAGGGGCTCCCCGATGAATGAATTTGGCAGAGCTTGCAGCGTTGCTTGTTTGTCCTGACTGACTAGCGGTGAACCATTGAAAACGGCATGCTCGCATGCAGAGTGTGCCATACGAACGGCAGGGCGTAGCGCCATGACATGCTGCATTCAGGCCTTTTGGCAGCTGGAAGCGGCTGCCTAAGCGCGGCAAAGGGCTCACCTGAACGGCGCAGAGCGATACAGCCCAGGCAGTGGTGGAGGAACAACTGCAACACTTTCAGCTGCGTTAGGAGCCACCGGCAAAATTTGTAACCCGCCCCAGGCGAAAGGCTGCAGCGCCATGGATGGACGGCGTGGTGCATCGCCAGCTGCGCCAGGGGCTGGAGAGGGTCGTCCAGCGGCCGAGCCTCGTCCTGTCGCCATGTCAGCGTACTCAAATGCACGGCTCGCTTCCGGGGTTACGTGTTATGCCCTGTCTAGGCGGCGTTAGCTGCATCATACCGCATGATCTATGAGTATACAGAACATAGCTTCAACAGTATAAGAAATAATATTCGGCTTAGAGATAAAGCCATAATTTGGGAGGCGTGGCTTGACAAGATGATTTGTAAGAAAGCGTCACGGAAGCACCCATGCTGATGAGCGCCATCATAGCTGCATAGTCATCAAAACATTACATTACATTCATACTGTGACTAAGCAAGTGCTTTTACTTTGATGGCGCCTTGCTACATATTTGCCTTATTCTAAGCAAGGATATATCAAGCACACCGAGCTCTATATTCAAGCCAATTGTGCTCCTAAAGTATTACCAGAAGTTTTCACCTCTAACGGGGCATTCGCACAGTGCTCGCAGTGCCGCGGATACTTGCAATTTGGGTTGAGTTCACCACTTTACCTCTAACATAATTTTGGCAAATCTACCTCGCCTTTGTACCAAACTATACCGAGCACAGTTTTGGGGCTTCCTGTGGACTGCGTGGCCGCGGCGACATGGGGTCGAGTGCTGCTATGGCTCAGCGGCTGACGCCGTGGAGCCCTTCCCTTCTTCTTTAGTGATACCCCGCTAAGCGTGTCTGCAAAGCCACGTGAGCGGAGGTCCCATGGAGCTTACTCCCGACGCGTCCCCGCCACCATCACGGGAAGTAAGGTGCGTTTCTTGGCCTGACGCGGAAGACCGCGCTAGACTTGCGTTGCGGGATGCTCCTCCCAAATCACCCGGACCCAAACCTCCCAACTATCACAGTCTTTTGGAAAAAGCGCGTCGTAACCTCTACTTACTACCTACCACTTGCCCCTTTCCCTTCTTCCCACCCTCCAGCCCATCTGAGCATGCCAGGCGTCCCCAGCCACAGGAGCGGTCCCTGGGGATCTTGGAAGAGGCTGCCGGGTACCTCGTGGAAGCCGATGGCGACCAGACGGACAAACAGCAGCAGCAGCTGCAGGGGGAGGAGGAGCCGGGTGTTGGCGGCCCGCTAGGAGGAGGCGTGGATGGGCCGGCAGCTGGCGACTCCGGAGCCGGTAAGCTTTTAGCAGCTCAGGTCAGGGGGAGGTCAGAGGCCGTGTATTGAGGCCAGGTAGGGGTAGGGGTAGGGGTACGGAGGATGCTGAAGCTCACTGGGTGGCTCGCACTAGGGCAGACAGGCTGGCAGGGGGCAGATGGAGGCCGTACGGCACCCAGGGCGTGGCGCTGCAGGTGTATGTGGGGGACCTTGGGACCGCCATGTGGTGCAGTGAAGGAGAGGGGGGTCCGGCGGGAGGATGAGGGGGGAGGGGGAGGGTTAGGGGCAGGGGGGGGAGGGGCAGAGGGACTCCGTAGCGTGGGGACCTGGTAGGGGTGTTGTCCCCTCAGAGGGCGTTAGACTCGGTTTCGAAAGCTGACAGCTACATCATTGTGTGGCGGATCCTTGTTTCTGTACTGCTTGTACTGCTTGTACTGCTTGTACCGGCTAACTTATGCTCCCAATATCTAGCCACGGTTATGAGATCAGTGTGCTTGTGGGCCATGGCCCGTGGGGAGCTGTACAAACTCCGTACGTGCTTGCCGTACACATCGCGGCACGTTCTTGCTCACTGCGGCTTGTGTATCGTTATGACCCGTGGGGGTGGGAAATGTGGATGCAGGCGGTGGCGGCGGAGGCGACGGAGAGGAAGCCGCAGGGCAAGAAGACGGGTTGGGGGCATCAGCCCTAGCACCCGGGGCAGGTCCCGAGGACGGCGACACCGCGGCCGCGGCCGCGCAGGACGATCGCGAGGGCACCGGCATTGGCAGCGAGCCGTCTGCTGGCCTCGTGAGCCCGCGCAGCGGCGCCGGCGGCGGCGGTGCCACTCCCGCGCCCACCGTCGCCGGCGCTGCTACTCCTAGTACTGCTGTCCGTACGGCAATACCTGTCAGTGGCAGCGGCGGCCATGTGAGTCGTAGCTTTAGGCTACCGAGCAGAGGGGAGCTTGGATCCGTTGGGTCCCGAGGCATCCAGGTACGGATGTCAAAACTCGTGTGTGTTTTGTGTGTTTTCGTGATCTGAGCCGCGGGATTGGGGAGATACAGACAGACAGACAGGGTCCAACCACGGAAAGGCTCCGGAAAACGACGAATTCCGTTCTATGCACTATGATTACTTTTATAATTATTACTGTAAACTGTAATTATGATAATAATAATAATAATAATAAATAATAAATAATAATAATAATCAATGATTCCGATTATGATTTGGGGATCATCCGCAGGGCGTCCGGGGCGTCTCCAAGAGCTTATCCATGGGCCGCGTATCGCCCCCCCATCGCCAAATCCGAAGCACCAATACGATAGCTGTATCGCGGGAGGGTGTACGGGATGCCGTACGCACCCCCAGTGCCCATAGCAGTCGGCCCGCCAGCTCCGCTATCGCGCCATCGTCGGTGCCACCATCTCCCGACATGTACGGCAGTGAGGGGCCGCCGGGTACGGGCACCATAAGTCTTTGGCCGCCGGGGCCGTCACTGTCGAGTTCGGGCTACCACCACCTTCCGGGGTCTCCTTTTTTGGAGGATGTGGAGGTACGAGGGGCCGCAATGAAGCTGGTCAGCACACCGAGCGCCGCAGCGAGGGAAGCCAAAGAGGTTGGCGCCGGCGGAGCCGGCAGCGGCCGTGGCTCCGCCACGGCGGCGGCGGCGCAGCCGCCGCCGGGGGAGCCGGCGGCAGCGGAGCCGCCGCCGCTGCCGCCGTCCATGTTGCATGCGCCGCCGCCGGCTCCTCCCTCCGCAGGTTCAGCTCCCGAGACCTCCTCCGCTCCGCACGTCGCGTCACTCAGCAGCGTCCCCTCCGTGGCCATGGGCAGTACGGTGGTGGCTGTGGGCCGTAACCGGCCGCTGCTGATGCCCTTCCTGGAGCGCCAGGCCGCCGCTCTCGCCGCCGCCGCCGCTGCCGGCGACCCGGCAGTGGCCGGGCTGCCGCCGGCGGCTGCGGCAGCCATGGCGGTGGCCATGGGCCCCGCTGTTGGCCGACGTCACGGCACGCACGGCTCCATCCGTCACGGGCCAGCTTATTTGCAACAACCCGCCATGCCACTCCCCGGCTCGGAGAGCTCACCGCCTAGGGAGTCCAGCACGTCCGTGTCGAGCGCCCGTCGGGCGGCGGCAGGTGGGAAGGGTGAGTTCGTCATGTCCGTATCGAGCGCCGGGTATTTAAGGGGCTGGGGATGGGAAGGGGAGGGGTAATGGTGGGAGGGAATTCCTCGAGGAGATGGCTCCTGGGAATGGGGGTACGGGGTCCATCCGGTCCTGTCCTGGGGTCTAATTCCCGGCTATAAAAACGAAGATTGAAAACGCCGCGAAGAAACGAACGCCGCGGACCAGCACCTGAACGGTCAGCATGCGTTAGGGGAACAGGAAGTGGCGTTGTAGTTGGCATTAGCGGTGACGGCGGCGCGCTATGGTCCTGTTGGTGTTGGAGTCTGCTAACGGTCGGGGAAGCAGCGGCGGATATGGAGATGCAGCGCATGAATCACCTCCGATCCGAGGTAACATACCGGGGGGTTAACAGGAACATTACCGCCCCTGGCTCTGGGGTCTTAGGGTTCCGATTGCTAATGAAAACGGCGTCCCCGTTATCTACGGTTGCGTTTTCTACGGTGCCTGTCTGTCCGTCTGTTTGTCTGTCTGTCCGCGTCGCTCGCGTCTGACCACGCCACGCCTTCACAGAGTCGCACCGGGCGGGCATGTCGCCGCTGGATACGCCTCTGCCACTTCGCACGCCAGCCGCCACCACTGACGGGGACCAAGGAGACGTGGGACGGCCGCCGCCGCCGCCGCCTCTATACCCCGCGGCGAGTCGCGAATGGGACAAGCGGAGCGGCGGCGGCGCCGGAGGCAGCGGCTACGCCGCCGGAGGCGGCGTAGCCGCCGTCAAAGCCGCGGCGGCGGCCGTCGCAGCTGCCGCCGCCGCCGGCAAGGCCGGCGGCAGCACCGCCGCCGCCGACCATCAGCTGTTGTTGGGTGAGGGGATTCAGATCCGCAGCATTCACAAGACGGGTGCGGCGCCGGGTCTGGAGCCGCCGTCGGTGTCGCCGTCGGGCCTGGTTGGAGTGCCGGGACGACGAGGACGCCGCATGCCCCGCCACGCCAGCACCACCGCGGCGGCCATGGCGGCGTACTTCGCCGGCGTAGAGGCTTCCATTGCGGAGGGTGAGAAAGGTGCGGACACGATGCTGCTGCCGAGCGGCTTGGCGAGACGGCTCAAAGCGGCGAGGATGATGGCGCAAGGCCCACCAAGGTTCCAGCGGCGGCCGGAGCCGGCGCCGCCGCCGTCTCCGTCAGGTGAGGTGGAAGTTGACGGGGTGCATGTGTAGGTGGTGACGTGGCACGCTTGATGTTAAGGGGAGGAAAGGGGGGCTGCTCTGGCGGCCATGCTATGGGCCTTTGGCGGATACATACATACGTACATACATACTTACTTATTTACATGCATACGTTCCTGTCCAGGCATCAAGCTGGATGGATTCATGCTGCTCGAAGCCGCCGACGAGGAGATGCCGGAAGCCGTACAGTTTGCGAGCTTGGAGTCGCGCCACATCAGCGCCGTCGAGTCCGCCGACCTGTCGTACTTTGTCGCGCTCCGAAATCTCGACGTTTCGGACAACAAAATCCCGGACCTAATCTGCCTGGCGACGCTGCAAGCGCTTGTACGGCTACGCGCCGCCTCTTGTCGTCTAAGTACTCTCGGACCATGGCCAGGAAGCTTGCTTGGTGGCGGCGGTAGCGGCGGCGGCGGCGGCGGCGGCGTCCCGCTGACAACCAGGAGCGCATCGACTGTACTGCGACGGAATCGTACCTCGAAAAGGGCCGACGCCGCTGCTGTCGCCAGCGGTGGATCAGCCGGTACGACGGAACCGGGGGAGCCGTACGAGTCTTGGACGCTAGGGCCTGACGGGAACGGCCAGGGGGAAGCTGCCGCCGCTGCTGCCGCTGCCGCAGCCGCAGCGGCGGCGTCAGCGGCACCGCCACGAGTGGAGCCGTCGGTGGCCTCTACGGCGTCGGAGACGGCGGCAGGTAGCGGCGGCGGCGCCGTACTGGCGACGCCGGCGCATTCAGCGGATTTGTCGCTGGTGGCATCGTTGCTGGCACCGGTCAACGGTCGGCCGTTTCAATACCTGGAAATTCTGGATCTCAGTTTCAACCACCTACAACCGCACATGGTGCTACTGCCAACCTCGCCGCTAGCGCTACTGCCCAGGCTGGCGGAGCTCGATCTATCGTCCAACCACTTTAAGCACCTGCCGTCGCCGTCAGACATCACCACGGCCGCGGCCCGGGTGGCGGCAGCGGCGGCGGCGGGAGTGCCGGCGGCGGCGGCGACGGGCGGGTTGGCGTTTCCAGCGCTGCGGCGGTTGCGGTTGGCGGATAACGGCCTCAAGGTACACCGCAGACGGTTGGCGGCTGACGCGTGGTAACATGTGTCGAAATCAGGCTCGGGGGGTTTGTCCGTTAAAAGCCCACAAGAACACGTTCCACATCGGCCCCCAAGGCGGACGATAACTTCTAAAACTTAGGGCTCCCCGTCGCTCCACCCCACCCCACCCCACCGCACCCCACCCCACCGCTTAAGATTCCCATCTTTACAAGTCTCATCGAGCCGCTCTTGGACTTCCCCTGACTCTCCCTTCCCTCCTCCTCGCGCTGCTTTCCATCCTTCCTGTTTCCTAACCCTAAAACCCTCACCCGGTTCACACACACACTCACACACACACCTTACCCGGTTCCCTTCTTCTCACCTCTCCAGGGGGGCGCCATCGCCTCTCTCGCCGCTCTGGCACCCCCCTCCCTCACGCACCTGGACTTATCCCACAACGCCATCTCAGCAGCACCCCGCCTCAAATTTCTGGAGGTGTCGACAACGACGACGATGATGATGATGGTTTCGGGGCCCGAAAACAGCTCCGCTTCGACGGATTACGTTACGGGATCCAACAACAGCAACCGTCTCTTAGCCGGGGGAAGCAACGCCAACGGAATTGCAACCGCCAACGGTGATGCAAACGGTGTACCACCTCTGTACGGCAACGGTGCTGCTGGCCTTTCGCCAACGGTCAACGCGCATTCCGCCTTACACCAGCAGCAGCAGCAGCATTTGCATCAACAGCAACACCAGCAGCAGCAGCAGCGGCTACAGCCTCAGAGCTCTGCCCACCGCCTGACGTCGCAAATCTCTGCGCAACGGCTGCTGCTACAGCCCGAACTCACTCCGCCAATGCAGCCGCCACAACATCAACAACAACATCAACAGCACCCGCAGCAAATCCCGCACCAAAACCAAAACCAAAACCAGCAGTCCTCCTCCTCCTTAGCACACCAGGATCGGGAGCGATACGGCAGCGTGCTGACGCGGCTGGTGGTGTTGGACCTGTCGTACAACAAGGTGGACACGGAAGGTGCCGTCGCGGCGTTGACACACCTGCCGTCGCTCCAGAAGTTGCTTCTGGCGGGTAACCCCCTGGTAAGCCTCTGTCGGGGGCCCGGGGGTTATGCGTGTCTGTGTTTTTGTGTATGCGTGGCGGGGGGAAGAGATGGCATTATATGCAGGGAAACAAAGGAGTGGACTGCCGGAGGGGCTGGATAAGGGTGTTGGGGGAAAAAGGGGGGAAAGCTCCCGTTTGGAAGGGGTATGTACGGGAGGGGCTCGGAGGCTGCTTTTTTGGGGTTTGGAAGGTCGAGGCTCCGAGGTTGGGTTTGCGGGGCGAGGGGATTGTGTTGTGTGTTTGGGGCTTCCGTACCTCTAGGAATGGGGTTGTCCTGCTCCCCTCTCTCTACCTGCAACGATTGTTTGTAGTTGGATTGGTTGTGATCCTTTGAAATAAAACCATTTGAAGGGGATGAGACGGAGTTCTGGGTCTGAGTGTGTCTTAGGGTAACCGTACCAGGTGGCAGCGGCGGAGGGGGGGGTGCACGTAGTCCGAGGGGGGAAGAGGGGTTTTAGGTCGACCCCCTCCCCCCTTTTTCGATGGTCGAGGAGGGCAGTGTGGAGGGGATTAGGGATGAGGGGGAGGGTTACATTGTTTGTCTGTCTGTATGTTTGTCTGTCTGTTTACCTGTCAGTTTGTTTGTTTGTTTGTCTCTTGGTGATCATTGAACGCTGAACAAGCTGTACTTGGGGCGTAAGGACACACACATACACACACACACGCCGCCGCGGCGGCCGTGTTACCGCTTTCTTTTCTCCCCCCTCCCCTCCCCTCCCAGCCCCCCCTTTAGGGTATTGTTCGCACCTTCCTCTTTCGCCTTTCCGTCGGCCTCTGACACAAACTACTATATCCCCCCCACACACACCATCGACCAGGTAATCGCGCTGCAGCGCCCAAGCTCCAACCGCGATGCCGCCGCCGCTGCCAAGTACGACATTGGGGAGCCCAACCCGAACCCCGCTCGTCCATCCGTGGCTTCCTCCCTCACCGCCCGCTTCGCGAGTGTACGGGAGGCCGCTCCGAAGCAGCAGGCGAACACGCTGGCGGCGGCGGCGGCGGCGGTCATTACGGCAGCGGCGGCGCCGGAGCGAGTCTCGGAGGCGTACGACAGGTTGGACGCGACCATTGAGCAGTGGCGGCTGAATACGGTCGTCGAGGTACGATAATACGACAACAACATGCCGCGGGGAGGATTGCAAAAGAAGCGACTTTCTAGCCCGCACCTTTGCGAGCCACCGTGTCGTATCATCCTATATACACACCCTGCTGCTTTCTCACCTCCGTTGCTTTGCCCCTTAAGGTTTAATAACCCTGTCGTACCGGTGCCGTACAATGTCCTATGCTTGTCGTACTGATACCGTTTGAATACCGTTTTTTTGGATCGTAGGAGGACGAGGAGGAAGAGGAGGACGACGGCGAGGAGGGAGCCGACGACCGCACCTTCCTCACAGGCGTCCGTCTTCAGGAGCGTCAGCAACGCCGCAAGAACAGCGCCGCCGCCGCCACCGCCGCCGCCAGCGCCACAGGTGCCGCCGTACCTGGTGACGTCGACGGCCTGTTGGAGTCCGTGGCGGAGGGCCCTGAGGATGGTGACGGCGCCGCCGCGGCGGCTGCTGCCGCCGCCGCCGCGGCTGCGGCTGAGGAGGAGCCGCCGCTGTGGGAGTCGATTACCGACCCGACGGAGCGCCTTGCGGTGGCCCTGGGGCTCGATCCCGTGACCTTGCCCATGCACACCGGCGCGCTGACGACTGACTCGGCGGGCGCCATCGCGGCGCTACGCTTCGCCCTTGCGCACCCTCTTGTGGAAGCCAACGACGGCCTGGCGCCGCACCCCGGCTACCTATCCGCTACGACCGCCACACAACTGAAGCGCAAGCCGCGGCGGCCGACGCCGACACAGCGGCTGGCGCCGATGGGCAGCGGCACGGGGGGCGGCGGCGGCTTCGCCACCGCCGCCGCGGCGGCGGCTGTACCGGCGGCGGCAGCCGCCGCCACCGGCGGTGGCACCGCCGCTAAGGCCATCAAAGTCCAGACCGTTGAGGCGATGTTGGAAGGTATGAAGGGGAAGCTGGCGGCGTTAGAAGCCAACTTGGCCGCCCAGCTGGCGGCGGCGCCGTCAGCCGAGGCGGTACGGCGCGCGGAGGCGGCCAGTCGCGAGCGCTATGGGGGCCTGAGAAGGCGCGGCAACGCCGAGACCGACAGCGAGGAAGGTGACGACGACGCCGTCAGTACGGGCAGTGGTCTGCCTGAGGACGTTATTGATCAAATTGAGCGCGAGAGTGCGAGTGAGGATGAGGAGGACGAGCAAGCGGTGGAGGAGGAAATGGGCCCTATGGATCCTAAGCAGGTGAGGAGCAGATATACGTACAGTAGGACAGACAGGTAAGCGATAATAATCTTGAGGAGCCGTACACAAGACACGCAAAAGGAAGGTACGGCACTGTCGTATAAGTTTTCGGATGCTTACCCCTCTTATACGCAATTCAGGTGATATGACAATTCTGCTTGTGTACCTCCTAACCGTTCCTAACCGTTCCTAACCGTTCCTAACCGCTCCTTGACAGGGCATCGTCCTTGTGGCGGAGCAGCTCGGCGCGGAGTCCTCCGCCACCGACGTCGCCGCCAACGGTAACAACGGTAACGGCCTGAGCTCCTCACCGCCCAGCCGTGTGGTAATCGCTGACTCCTCTCCGCGTACGGGAGCCAGTGGCGGGTCGCCAAGACGAGTCAACGCAGCTCCAAGTGTGGGCGGGTCAAGCAGCGCCTCACCGCGTAAGGGCGTGTCGATTGTCGTCAGCTCGCAGTGACCTGGGGGATGCCGGCCCGGCGGCACCAGCACACCGCGGCGCCGACAGCGGCTGGTCGACACAAGCGCTGCACGCCGGCACGAGACCGCACCTGCTATTCCTCCGCGCAGCACATATTTTTGTTTGCTGAACAGCAACAGCATTCTTCCCACAATTACATCGTGTGACTGTTTTGCAGCGGAGGGGGCCGCGGTGCTTGCCGTGTAGTTCCTAGAGGGGTCGCGGCCAAGGGTAGAGTTGCCTCTATGGGCTGGGAGCGGTCGTCTGGGTCTAAGGGTGACTAGACTAATCCACAACCATGCGTCTGAACATCATCAGGTTTGCAGGTAGGGGGTACGGGCGGTGAGGGGATGGATTAGCTGCAGCAAGCAGTGCAGCACCGCTGTCAGCAGCCGCGGCAGCAGCACCCGTACCCACACCCACACCCACACACGGAAATGCACCACCTGTGTCGGGGGGCGGGAAGGAGCATGTGCGGCGGCAACCGGTGTTGAGGCACTGGTGGGGCAATGGAGGTGAGGTGAGGCACGACGACAGCACTACTTCCACTCTCGAGGCCGCGCAGAGGCACCTGGGGGACGCACGCCATACTCTGCGAACATACTGCGTGTGCAATGTGGCATGGCGGCAGTGGCAGCAGTGATAAAGAGGAGTGGTCAAAACCTCGCTCTGCGGGGCTATGTGTGGGGTTATGTCCGGGGCTATGCAGCAAACGTGAACGAAACGTGGAGGGAGCGGTCGCGCGGGCAGTGCCGCCGCCGTTGGAAGCGGCGGCAGAGGCCACTGCCGACCGGAATTGGTGCTTGGGGTCACTGCCGACTAGTTGCCCCTCCCGGCTGGTGGCTGCTGTTCGAGTACTGGGTCTGGTCTAGGGTTACTAGGTGCGCGGCGTTGGGAGCTCTGTTGCGGCGTTGCTGCCGCCGGCCACGGGGGCGAAGGGTTTATGTGGCGACACGAGGGGGGGGGGGACAGAGGCAACAAGGGGGCTTGGCAACAAGGGAGCTGTGAGAGAGCTCGAAGGCGGTTGAGGCTCACGGGGCAATGGGAAGCTGGCAGCCGCAGCGCAGCCAGCCGCTGCCAGCCCACAACTGGCGGGCTGGCAGCCAATTGAAGATGTGCTGCCCCAACTACGCATGTGGTCGGAACCGCAGAGAGCCACCACGGTCCACACTCGCCTCGCCGCCAGCTAAGAGTCCCAGATCGAGCGAGTGGTGGAGTGTTGTGTTGCGTTTGGGGTTTTAACGGCAATCGTTTCACCTTTGTCCCCACCTTTCGGTGGCTTGGATGATCTGAGCCGCGATAAGAGGGAAATGCCGATAGTGGTGTAATGGTTGAGTCCCTTGCATCCGGGGGATAATGTGAGCGGGGTGAGCAGCAGTACATGTTACGGCATGCCAACCTTGCTCGCCACGTGAAGGTGTCTGTGCGTGTGTTTGGCTTAGGGCACGGATCTGTGGGAGACGATGTGGGAGACGGTGGACAACACGTCGCCGGGGACCTGCTATGCGCGTCCGGTGGATATGTACGACGGCAGGTTGTACTGTTAACACCAGCAAAGCGCCGGACCCCAGCCGGGTCCTATTATTGCTGTTACCATCCACTGGTATATGGATGTCGGTCATTTCCAACATGTACTTCATGACGCGAAAGCTAATGGGAGAACTTGCCAGATGTAAGAGTGTGAAGCTGGTGGGTGGGTGGGCGGGCGCTTTCCGGGCACGAGGGAATGTGTATGGGGCACAAGAGAACCGATTTGGAGTGTATATTTGGGTGTCCACAGCACAGCCACAACAGCATAGGCACCTGCATACTTCTCTTCGCCCTCCTGCAACCGCTATATATATTATAATCCTCACTTCCCGCTTTTGAATAAGAGTGAGACTTGCTACAGCAATTTTGGCCACGAAACGACAGCGTGGACCAAAAAACACATAAACGCGGGGTTGGCACGAGGGGGTCCTCACCGCAGCGGCGTCGAGGGCATATGACCCTAATCGCAGTTTCAGGTGATTACGTCTACACATGGCAGGACCAGGGCTCTGCTGGGAAAAGGACCATACGATTATCGCCCTTGTGTTTGAAAGTGGTGGGCATCGTTTGGGCTGCACACGACAGCCTGCGCCGCATTGGACAAGGGCACCCTAAGAAATGAAAGCAGCGTTTGTCGAGGGAGCGGTACACTCCCCTGAAAGAGGGGGTAGGGCTGTCGCTTTGCTCTTGCTCTTCAGCACATGAAGCTGCTGGGAACCGCGTGAAGCGCCTGTATGTGTACAGAGCCGTGGAGCCGCTTAAAATTGAAGAAGAGGACAAACATTTGGGTTACAAGGGCTGGCACAGCTGAGGTACAGCACACGGAACTTCGCTCAGGCAGGTGAAGCAACCGAAGCGCAGGCAAGGCAGGTCCGTGCCAAGCTCGTGAAGAAACCAAAGGGCCACAGGAAAGCGAACGCAGACCTGGTTACAAGCGAGGTGCACACTGAGATTGTGCTCTTCCTCTAGAGTCGCAATATTAAGGGGGTTGGGCAGCAGTTGGTAGGCAGCAGTCATTGCCTCGAGGCCCTTCCCACCTTAACCCCTACTTCAAAGTGTCACTAAGGACCCCGGCGATTTGCGCCTGCTCAGTAGCCGGCAGCTTTTTCCTGAGGCAGCTTTTTGCTCAACCACTACTTCAGGGCGTCACTAGAGCTCTTGAAGGATTCAACTCCAAAAGCATTTAGTCAAAGGAGGGGACGCTGACTTAGACCCCCTTGTGAAGAGGACTTAGAGCTGCTACCCACAACACCGGCAGTGCAGGGCAGGGGGGTTGTAACCGCGGGCCTGTCACGCTGCCTGGGGCGCCAGCGGCATCGGCGCTGGGATGTGCGTCGTGGTAAGGACGGGGAAGAGAAGAGAAGAGAGGCCCAGCGACGCGTCGGATCGGATCGTGTCAGGGCCATCTGGGTCGCATCGTAGTTGTAGTCGTGGAGCAGTTGCTTTGGGGAATGCGGGGAGAGGGGGGCCCTGGTACCGCTGTGGATTCGGGACGTCTGATGTATGTGTGCTGCTGAACCAGATGCTGGAGGGTGCCGGGTCGGGCTTGAGGATGCGGAAAAGCATGGAGCGCATGTCCTAGATCGGCCCTGCACCGGTACCAATTTTGAATCTGGTGTTGGACAGAACGGAGGATTGTGCCAAATCGTTCCCCGTGTGCCAAATGCATGGACGTGTGAGTTGTTATGCAGGTCATGGGGGGCCTTATCTGCCAGCAAAGTGCCCCGGGCATTGCCGTGGGTTTGGGTTTGGGGCTTAGGACGAAGAGGTGGAGCCACGCAGGGCGGGTTGGAGCCATGAACACTGCTGCCCTTAGTGGCGCTAATTTTGGAGGTAGTGACTGGCGGTGCATACATTGATAGAGGGATGTGGGTTGGAGCTAGGACGCTAGTAATGACGCTGCATGCGGAGAGATCCTGTTAATGATCGACGGGCCGGCCAGTCCGCCTGACTTGTCCCGAGCAGCAGCAGCAGCAGGGCGTACGGATGCAAGGGCTTGGGCTTCCTTAACCCCCAAAGCCATTATGCTTTGTGTACCCGCATGCTTATCTGGCATCATGACAGGATTTGCTGACCTGTGAGCATGTCAAGTAGCGCCTTGCAGCGGCGACATCGCGGCGACTAGAGCAGCGACATAGGTAAGGGCCGCTCACGCAGTCGCCTGTCCTTATAGAGCCGCATCTTTCGTTTCTAGACTAGCATGCTCCCGTGGGTGGGGGGTAATGGCTATTAGCCATAGGATTGCATGGAACGCGCGGCAGCGAATCACCATGCGAAAGGGTCCAGGCTCCGCGTGTCATGCATGCGTGTCACCCCACATTGACATAGTGGGGTGAAACGAAAGCAGCCAGACCTGAGCTGTTGCAGGAGAAGATGTAAACACAAAGGAATAACCAGATTTCAGCAGTCAGATGCAGTTTAAATTGTTGCTCATGCAGAGTTTGAACGCACCTTTGGTACAGCTATCATCTGTTTTGGCTAAGCTTAAATTTTAACATCTGTGGGAATTGTTGGCTCGTTCATTTCGGCAAATCGTACGGCAGCGCTTCCTCTATTCTTTTACTCTTGCCCCGTCGACAACGTCGCGGTAGCGCCTGCTGGTAGATGAACCGATAGGGACCATGGCGCTCCGTAACGCAGCTTCGCTTTTGGGCCAGCGCTTGGTTGGAGCTGCCGAGTTGGGGATCAGCGCAGCCAAGTCCGGAGCTGGAGAGGCTCTGACGAAGTAGGACCTGCGACAACGTACCTACTTTCGGTTATGCTTCTTTTGACGGGCCTGCTTTTGCGTACACGTGCAGCGCCTTTGTCACGGACGGTGTGCGCCATGCCTCCAATCAAGCCGGTGGGTACGGTGGGATGGACTTCAGCTGCACCAAGGATATTTGTTATGATGCATACTGCAAATATTTACGGAGCGGACGGCTTAGGAGTGGTGCTGCCTCCGTCACGGCTTGAGTTCCAAGTCGCGCTCTGAGACGTCTGCCGGAACGCCCTTATTATGCATCTGCAGTTAAGCAGCGCATTAGGGCCATTAAGAATATCGGGAAGATCACGAAGGCCATGAAGATGGTGGCCGCCTCGAAAATGAAGAACGCGCAAGTGGCGGTGGAGCAGTCCCGCGGCATTGTCAACCCTTTCGTACGCTTGTTTGGGGATCACCCAGGTAGGCTGAACTTGTCTGAACTCGCGTAACAGTTTCCGATGGTCACGGAACTTGTCGACGCGCGCAACATCAGGCGTGGAGGGCAAGGCTGGCGTGACTGTAGCCGTGACGTCGGATAGGGGCCTCTGCGGTGGCCTCAATTCCAACATCACCAAGTACACCCGGGCGCTCCTTAAGCTGGACTCAGCGGCAGCAGGTGCGTGCGCAGGTGCCGGCTCTCTGACCGACCAACCGGACACCCCTTGCCTCCTAAAGGCAGGATTGCGAAGCATAACACGGGTTCCCTGATGCGATGGGCAGGCGAATCTGCGAGCACTCGGCTCGTGGCCATTGGTGACAAGGGGCGCTCGCAGCTGATGCGCGCGGAGGGCCGCCTGTTTTCCTACTCCTTCGCGGACACCTACAAGGTTCGCGTGACTTTTGCCCAGGTGCGTTGAATGTTGGGGGGTCCCACGCTTCGGACTTGGGCGCAGCGTTCCACCTTGTACTGGCCTTGGCATGCACACGGAGAGCTGACGTGGGTTTTTGTTCGCCATGCCCCCGGCTGGGGTACGGGCAGCGGTCATAACTCGCATCCTAGGAAGTAGTCACATGCAGCCACCTATCCAGCATTGCAGAGAGCCTATTTGTTCAGCTATGTTATTCCTACCAATCTACCCACAAAATGTTTTGCATTGCTATGCGGTACCTGTGCGATGTACACTGACATTATAATTAGGACGCTACTCGTTCGCTCTTAAGCAATGTCCCCAGCTTCTGCGCCCCCATGTTCCCTGTTCCAATAGGCTTCTCTGATTGCCGAGGAGTTGCTGAAGAACAACCCCGAGGTCATTAAGGTGATGTTTAACAAGTTCAGGTCCGCCATTTCGTTCAAGCCGACCCTGGCTACCGTCCTCACCCCTGAGGTAAGCCGGACTCTGGATCCCTTGAGCATTACTGCCGAGTAATTTTGCAGAGTACATTGCTGCACCGGCAGCACATCTTTGAGCCTTACAGTGCTGAATGCGACTGTTGGGGAAAGATGGGAGGATAACTAACTGTTAGCAACAACGCGCTAAGTAGGGCCCTAGCTCGTCAGCTTCGTCGGTTGTGTACGAAAGCACGAGGAAGGGATTGCTGGCACGGGGACAGAGGCAGGGGCGGCTCTGAAAAGCGAGCGGTAAAAGAGCATTAGCCATATTGGAGCCACCCGTGCCAAGAGATGTCCCAGTCATGTGTTTACATCGTAATGCAAGATAAGGCACTGCTGTCCGCTGAATGCTATTCCGCTTGACATCTGTTTCCTTCCAGGCGCTGGAGAAGCAGCTGACGGAGCCGACGGGCAACCGCCTTGATGCCTACGAGGTTGAGGCGACTCACGAGCGGTCGGACGTTTTGCGCGACCTGGCGGAGTTCCAGCTGGCTGCGGTGAGGGCAGCGGGGGCAGGGATACTGGGGCATATGGCAAGGGCTGAGCAGGGGAAAAGGGAGGGGTACAGGTTTGACTTGGGCTAGAGCTTGGATGCGACGGACCAAGGCGAAGTGAACAAGTGTCAGGTACTTGCTGACAGCCTATGGGCGGGGAGAGTGAAGAGGTGCTCATGAAGGCCTGGCTGTGATCGTGACACGAGGGAAACCAAAGCTGGCTTTACGGTGCTATTAACCAGCGCAGCGCTCTGTAAGAAGGAAGGGATTGTGGTTTTCATGGCGGTGTTCACGGGGATGGCTCTTGAATGGAGTATATGTCAGGAGATGAACGCAGGAGGATTCTGGGACGGCATGCACTCAAAGCAGCAAGGGGCGTGCGGATTATGATTGTTTCAGCACTGCAGTACGAGCCGAGGATGAGCCATACTAGTAGCCTACGGTGCTGAGGGAGTACTGTACATGGATCCACGATTTAGCGAAAGTTGTTGTGCCATTAGCACGATTTACGCGCTGCGGCTGCTATCCTGGGACAGTGCGAGCTTGGTGCCTATGCAAAAAGGCCTCTGGCGGACGTATGTTGGATGTCCCGGTTTGTCTAGCTGTCTGGGAGGTCTCTCCACCTAGCAATGCTGCCATGGGCTTCGGCGCGATGGTTCCGGCTTGATTCCTCACCACCACCACGCTCTGTTTTCCTTTGCCCTCGCCCTGCCTCAGACGTTGTACAACGCCATGCTGGAGAACAACTGCAGCGAGCACGCCTCGCGCATGTCTGCTATGGAGAACTCGACCAAGTCGGCTGGCGAGATGTTGGGCAAGCTCACGCTGGAGTACAACCGGTGGGTGCGCCTACGGATGCTGGCTCTGCCCTCCCGACCCTGTCGTAGATACGTCGATGAATAGATTCGCAAAGCGGTGGTCTGGAAAGGGACCTGTGCGCCCGGTCTGAAGCGTTTATCGACTGTCGATGAGTCGGGCTCCGATTTTGATAGATTCCGGGCTGCTATGCTGCCTTGCATGTCGGCCTTGCTACAGGCTTCCAATTATTGCTGTGCCGTCGCCGCTGCTATCCCGCTGCTGCCCTTCTGCAGGAAGCGCCAGGCCACCATCACGACGGAGCTTATCGAAATTATTGCTGGTGCTTCAGCCCTCATGGACGCTTAAACAGCAGCGGCGTTACCTTCCGAAAGCGAATTTCGCGTTCAGGAACCCTGGCATAGCAACATGCAAAAGTGGGATTATGGGAGCTCAGTGTTCGGCGTGCTGAGAGCTGTTTTTCATGGTTCCTGTGCGTGGGGACATAGGTGGCCAGTATTATTAGTCATCAGGGTGCAGATTGCGCGTCCATCCACGTTTCACGAGGGGAGGCTTGCGGTTGGATGGTTTGGTGGCTCTGGCGGTCCTGTCCCGCCTCACCTCCTTCACCTGCGAGGGAAGGATCTAGGCGGCTGCGGCCGACCCGGCTAGTGCCGCTTTGTAAGCTGCCTAGCGAATGTTGGGCTGATGTGGTTGGTGGCTACCAGTGGCAGCCTGAACCTCTTACCTGTCCTGGCAGTTGCATAGGCGCTGTTACTCAAGACTATAACACGGCAAATGGAGGGCCGCAAGAGATGTAACCAGGCAACCTTTTTCTTCTTGTTGTATTACAGCGGGCTACGTTTCTATACCGTAAAGCAATGTTTGCAAACAGCAGCAGGTGACGTCGCTTCCTGCAGACGATGCGTCAAACGGCTGTGGAACGCAATCGTGAAGTTGCATGGTCAGCAGTATCCTGCCCGTTGCGGTACCTCCACTGTTGCGGTCGGCTAATCAATTAGCATCACCGCCTATCAGCTCTATCCAGAAAACTACAAGAAGTTGCCAGCAAGCTGATGTGACGCCTACATCTTGACCTCTACTCTTTGATGTGTAGTTCGCAAAGATGCTCGATTCTTACACGATCGGGCAGAATATCCCACGATTAAGACCGTGGTACAAGGCCCTCACCACCGCGTTTTTACACACCTTTCCAAAAACTTTAACGATCATTTGTTGCACTCCAGTCCCTCGACCTGCATTACACGTATCGCCGGAAACCTGGCCCAGTGCATCCTGCGCAACAGCCCTGCATCCAAATTCACGTCCGCCAGATCCACACACTGCGAAATTCATTCAAGAGACGAGACGCCACCGCCAACGCGTCAAGATCGCTACCTCATGCATTACTCCACATACCACAGGCTGGGTCGTCCCCATTCGCTCCCTCTCACATGCACACCACCACCACGTCCACCTTGCCAAGCCCGCGCCTCGTCCCCTCTCCATAAACTTGGAGCCCGGAATAGAAAGTCCCTTGCGTCTTTTTATCACCCCACTGTCGACACAACCAAACACGAATGCATGCAAAAGCATATGACAAAAAGGAGACTCAGCTGAGCTGTAATCCACCGCACGCCGTCCCTCACGCGTACCTGCTTGCTCCGCCTTATTATGGACTTATTATGGACTACTCACCTCGATTGGTTGAGGAAAATCACGGACACGTGCCCAAACCCTGGGCAAGTATCTTCTGACCCAGTATTCTTGACCAATGCGGCGCAGCAACAACAAATCCCCACGTTAGACACGCCCGTCCGCGCGGGTGCCGCCTTCGCCAAGGGCGCTAGCATCCGCCATCTCATCCTCTGCGGTGGCAGCTGCAGCAGCTCCTCCAGCTGTTGCGACCGCCTCTTCCTGCTGAGAAGCAGTCGCAGCCTCACTTTCCTGCATATCGCCACCTCCTGCCCCGTCCATCGCCGCACCCACTTTCAAAACAGTTCCGAGACTGTTCTCGTCTTTTCTGCACGCACCCTCACCATCCTGCATCACGGCATACGAATCGTCCTCCCCTTCGTCCACCTGCCCATTCTGAACACCCCCATCTTCCTCCTGCTGCTGCTCGTACTCCTCGCCCTGCATGGCATACTCCGCACCCTCGAGCGCTTCCCCATCCGCCTCCTCTGCCTCCGGACCAGCCTGCTGCTGCTGCTCCTCCTCCTCCTCCTCTTCCCCACCTTGCGCAACCCCCGCTGGGCCATCGTCGTGCTGCAGCGCCACGGCCATGGCCACCGCCGCCGCCAGGCCCGCAGCCATCGAGTCCCTCCGCCGGCGCTCCTCCGCCACCTTGCAAACAGGGAAAACAAAGAGATGGCAAAATACATAACGCTACACAGTCTTGCATCCGCAATGCATCCGCAGGCACTGTGCCACGACTGTGTTAAGGTAACTGCTGATGCCCTGTAGACGCGTGCAAGTATAAGCGCTACCAGGCACATGCTGCCATAACCCCATCGCCAAAACCCTCAATCCAACCCTTCAAGACAACCATAGAGTGAGGGCCATGGGTGCAGCTGAGCAAAACACCGGCAAGAGGCTTGGGCAGCAGGCCTTTCCCCAGCCCCGCAGTGCAAATCCATAGGGGCTCATGATGCGCCGTACGCGCGCCGTACATCAAGTACATGCGTCGCACTACGCCGCCGTGCGGTGCGGAGGAGGAACGCGTCACAACGCCCCAGATCACCGCTATCCTCAGCTCAGGTCAGCTCACCAGCCGCTCCACCCTGGAGCGTTCCGCTGCCGCGCTGAGCTGAGCCTGCGCGTTCGCCTCCACCAGCCGCCAGGCAACGGCCGCCTCCTCATCCACATGGGCTGCAGGAAGAACGCGAAGGAACAAAAATTAAAGAAAATCATAAAAATTAAAAAAATGTAATGAGTGAAAAATAATAAAATTACGAAAAATCATAACAGGCATTTTTTAAAGGGGGGTCTAGGAAAAGTGGAGGAGCGGAGGGAGGACGTAGGAAGCCCTACACCGTCGAAAAATACATTACACCGTAGAAAACAATGACACAGCCGTTGGCCAAAAACATCAACACAACCACACTCTCGCTGTGTCACTTCCGCTAGACTTGCTAGATTGCATGCAGCTGAGTGGCATGGAAGGGGACGGAGGGCGGCGGTGACATCGGCAGTGTCATGTCGTGCACTGCCTCTCAGTCTCTCTACGTCACCCACTACCTCTCCTCCTACTCCTTCTTCGCCTCCTCCTCCTTGCCGGGATCCTAACAAACCCTTTCCTTCTCGCACCGTTTTCCTCCCAGGGATCGTCTGCGTCCGCCAAATCGAGGTTGGTGAGGTCCAGATCGGCGTCCTGATCGGCGATGAGCATCGCCAGGGCCTCGTGGGTCAACGTACCTGCCCGAAGCTGCTCAACCGCCTGACGAGCCTGTCATCCAGTGTTGTTGTTGGGGACAGTGTGTATGTATGTATGTATGTATGTATGTATGTATGTATGTATGTATGTATGTATGTATGTATGTATGTATGTATGTATGTATGTATGCATGTATGTATGTATGTATGTATGACTTAGATTACACTGTGGGCCGCGAGAGCCGGGGGCCGAAGCCGAAACACAGCGCAAGGGTCGGGAGCACACAGCACAAGTCGGTTTGTCTTGTGTGCTCCCGTATGTATGTATGTATGTATGTATGTATGTATGTATGTATGTATGTATGTATGCGTGTGTATCTGTATGTGTTCCTGTTTGTGTGTGTGTTCGTGTGTGTGTGTATGTGCTTGTGTGTAAGGAAAGGAGGGGGGTAAAGAAGGGAAAAGAAGGAAAAGCCCTATATGAACGGGAGGCAAGAAGGCAAGAAGGCAAGAAGTAAGGAGGTAAGAGGATGGCTTAATAAAATACGCCATCGTGTACGACACATGGTCACAGAACAGGTAAGGCAGGCACGACCGCCGACTCAGAAACGAAGGAGTACGGAGCGAAGGGGTTGGGGTCGGCGGAGGGGGCGGGGGCGGGTGTGTGTGTGGGGGGTTAAGAGCAACAATTTCCCCTTTTTCCTATATCCTGCCACCGGCACAACACTGCCCACCGGCACAACGGCGCACACCTGATGTTCCGCCGGCAGATAGCCCTGTGTGGGGTCGTCCACGGCGCCATCCAGCCAGGCCCTGCTGCAGCACCAGTAGCTGACCAGCAGGTCGGAAGTGAGGCCAAGGTCCTCGAGCCTCTCCTGCAATGTGCATGTGACAGGGCCACCCGCCGCCACGGCCACCGCCACCGCCCGCAAAGGAAGCAAAATGAACTTCGTGATCATAAACCGAAAGAGGGGGCTGCAGCAAGCCGCTGTCTATATGAGGGACTGAGTGGCTGTCTGGTGGTTTGGGGGTTGTGGGCGCGGTATTTTTAAGGTTCTGTACATTAGAAGTAGTTGAGATTTAACTTTAACGACGTGGGGCTACATAACCGCGCTCGGTACCTTAACGGGGTCTAAGGGGTTCGATGGGGTTTGGGGGCTGCGTCTTGACGGGCTGCGTCACCACTACTTAGTACATGCGAGGCCATCCTGCGGACCTGGACGGGACCGGCTGCACTACCAGCAGTGGTGATCCGCCCTGTCGAATGATCAACTGTAAAGTCCCATATTTAACCGTAACGTAAACTCACGTAACCATCACCGTAACGGTAAGTAACGGTAACCACCACAAAACCCGTTTCGTCCAGTTACATTCTTTATCGTCCGCGCAGTTCATCACCCGCCCAGCCCCACTCGACCACCACACTCACCGGTTCGAGCCCCAGCTTCAGCAGCACTGTTGCGGCGTCCCGCTGCTCCCAGCGGTCCAGTCCGCTGCGGACCATGGCCACCAGGTGGGGCAGGCCGTACAGCAGCAGCAGCGACTTGCCGTCCGTGTCCCGAATGAGCAGCGCCAGAGTGGCGGCAGCACGGTCACGGCAGTAGCCGTACTCCTGCCTGGTAATGGAGGGCCGTGAGTGTGTATATGTGAGGATCGCTGTAAGGAAGAAAGGATAAGAAAACACACACCAAAAAACATGCAATGCAGGTTGACCTATATTATAAAGGGTTCGCTCGCACGACGGACCACAACCTCGCTGCTTGCTCGTCCTCCCCTGATTTTCCGAGGAACCCTATCTCCCTTTCCGTAACCCTCTTCACCCCCGGTCCACCCCATCATACACACACCCCTCACAACCCCCTCTCACACCCCCTCATACGCACACCCCGCCCCCACCTGTCTGTCGCCAGCACGGATATGAGCGCCGTCACCGCCCCCGCCCCCACCAACACCCGCCTCGCCACCTGGCCCCCCCTGGCCAGGTTGTACAGCAGCCTCGTGGCGGCCTGGCTGCTGTAGCGGTTCTGTGACATACAGAGCGACACCGCGGGCACCCCCGCCACCGCCGCCAGCCAGGAGACCTCCCCCGGGGAATCGCAGTACGCCAGGATGGACGCTGCTACACCTTGTAGGTACGGACTGCCGTACCTGGCCGGCGCGCGTAGACGTGTGTGTATTCGTGTACGTGTACGAGTGCGTATATGCATGTGTTGTCCGTTGGGAATATAGAAGGGAAAAGTGGAGGGGTGGGGATTGGAAAGCGTGTCAGGGTTTTAGGGTTTAAGGGCTTCCCTCCCTGGGGGGAATAGGGGAATAATATCCAAGAGTGGGTACGACAGGGTGGCAACCCCCAACCCCCAACCCCCTCGTGCTGTTCCCCCCAAATCCCTTCCCCTTCTTAGACAAGACAAAGCGCCCACGCACCTGAGGAGCCATATCGCCTCATCCATCACTGATCCCCGCACATAACGGTGCAGCCTCTCCATTGCCGCCGCGCGCGCTGCGGCACTGCACGGCCGCCCACCTCTGCCGCTGCCACCAGCACCAGCACCAGCACCCGCTGCCGCCGTCCCGGCCGCTGAATCCCCCGGCCCTGCAGTCGCCGGCTCTGCTGCCGCCGCCGCCGCCGCCGCCGCCGCAGTCGAGGCCAGCTCCGCACTTCCCCCCACTGCCGAATCCGGCTCGCTCGCCGCTACCGCTACCGTACCCGCTGCCGTGTCGTCCTCTGGCGGCTCTACTGTGGCGACCTCCCACTGACGCAGCAGCTCGTACAGGTCCGCTAGTGCGGCGGACCGGCGCTCCCCTGTGTCGTTGCGGATGGAGTGAACCCAGCCGGCGAGGGAGGAGTGCAGCCCTGCGGAGGCAAGAGGTCCCAGGTAATGCGTAAGTTGGTAGTTGGTTGTTAGCTGTTAGTTGGAGATGGAGGGAGGGAGGGGCAAGCATAGCAGGTAGGCGCACTGGCACAGCATAGCAGTCTGGCTAGTTCGGTTATTTCGACATCCCCCATTTCTTTTGAGCGATGGGGTATAAATATATAGTTTTTCTTTGGGGCGTTTTAACGATGTTTATTTCCCTATCTCGGACAGCCTCCGGCCCCCCCAGGGCCCTGTCCCTCCTCACGCTCCAAGGTATGGCGACCCCGTGATGGCACCTTTGGAGGGTGGTAACGCGGTAACTCCAGCAGGTGGTGTAACATACATACATACATACATACATACATACATACATACATACATGTATGAGCGCACACATCAAGTGCGCACGTAGGGAAGGACGGATGGTCAACAGACAGACAGACAGACATGCCGACGAACTCACGTGCTAGACGCTCCGTGGCGTCAGGTTGCGGTGTGGGTCCCCGGCCGTGTTGCTGCAGCCACTCGTGGATACGAGCCTTGAGCCAGGGCACCCGGACGACCTGCGACCCCACCAGCAGCAGCAGCAGCAGCAGCAGCAACAACACCAACAACAATCCAGGCAGGCGGCTGGCAGAGGTTAAGGCCTGACTACTGCTCCCGGAGTGTCCGGGTTCAAATCCGCCTGCCGACCTCTCGGGTATTTGAGGTGGTGAAATGGGAGGTGGCCCCCCATCTTTTGGACGGTGTAGGACGTGATAAAATCAACTTGCGAAAGCCGACCAGGAACTAAGTTGAGGCGCCGTTGATCCGCTAGATTTGGTTGGATGCTGGTGGTGAGTTGCCAAACTCAAAGAGTACACTCTGAAGTCGGATGGGGTGAATGGATTAGGGTGCCCCTCTTGCAGGGGAGAGCAGGGAACTGCCTCGGGAAGGAGGCCACTGGTGTAGCTTAACCCCCCTGTGACGACATACATACAACAATCCCCTTTTGGTTCCTCTTTGTTCGGCCCTGTCTATCAACAATAAAGAGGGGGCTTGTCTGAGCACATAATAAGATTTAGCTTATCATATGCTCAGACAGCCCGTCCTTTTTAAAGTTTTTAATTCCTCCGTAAGTCACGGGAAGAAGTCACGGGGTTGTTTTTATAGGGCGGAGCATCGCGTAGAGGCGCAGCCAATGAGTGTGCGTATGTCTGTCTGCGCGCAGAGAAGCCGTGGCTGCAGAAGGGAGCATATCGCTAACGTCGCTAACATCCACCAATGCCGTACAGGTAGGTGTGGGGTTGTGCACGGGTAAAGTGGTTGGAAGGCGCGGTGGGAGGCGATGCGAAACAGCCGAGGAGCGGCAGCGCGAGGAAATCCGGCACGAGGTCTCCCTCACCGCCCCCGAGAGGTCCAAACAACGGCTGAAAACCACGCAACCACACCGCGTCGCATCCGCAGAGCGTCAGCGACAGCAAAACAGCATCAGCATCAGCATCAGCAACTACATAGTGGCAACACGGCTACACAGGATATCCTGCAGGATTCCTAAACCCACCCCGTGTACACCGACCGTACGGCTTCTAACCCTACCTACCTGGACATCCAGCACCTCAATGTTGGTTTTGGGGCACAGCCTGTTGCCCGTACGGAACCAGTTCTTGAGGGTGGTGTATTCGTACACCTGACCGGTGGCGCAAAGGATCACCGGGTCCAGCATCACCTGCAGCGCAGTTGCAGCAGCATCAAGTAATCAACAACACCCAACAAACAACGGCTCGCTCCTTGTTGCCGTGTCATTTTCAACATTTCCAACAAGGTAACAAACTTACATTGAGGGATATTGGGTCCTTGAACTCATCCTGCACGAGACAACCACGAACAACAAACACCAAACACATGCGGGCGGGAGGGGTGCAGGGGGGGCCCGGGCAAGGAAGGAAGGGCGATGAGGAGGACGAGGGGAAGAAGGGAGGGGCATGAAGGGGGATGAGGCATGAGGCCACCGACACAGTACGGCGGTACGGCAGTATGAGCAGCGCGGTACAGCTCAGCCCAATGACAGATGGAATGCACAGACTGGGCTCCCCGTCTGGACGCACGTGCACTTGGACGGGTGCACTCGCTTAGGCGGTGTCGTCCTTCCGTTAGACCGGTGATCGGTGTTCATGGGTTCACTGGGGTGGGTGCGCCTCAAACTCCTGAGGGGCGGCATCAGGTTGCCCCAACTGCCTTTTCCAGCGCCTTCAGAGGCAACTTCCTCTTCCTCCCTCCGCCTTCCCCCTGCTCCTCCTCCTCCTTGCACATATATGCATACGGCTCTCTCCCCTCTTTGAGCATTTGTCGCACATACATCATCACTTCAACCACTCACCGGCACCTCCAGCTCGTCCTCCACTTCGTCCAGGAGCTCCTTCCAGTTCACATGCCCTCCTGCGGAACAGCCGGGGACACAGCATTCATTCATACATACATACACACGCGCCCGCACACAGAGCCCATATAGCCCAGGTTGGTTACATACACACACATTAGCAATCCTTCTCCATCAACACCACCATCACCATCACCACCACCATCACCACCACCATCACCACCACCACCAGCACCACCACCAGCACCACCACCAGCACCACCACCAGCACCACCACCAGCACCACCACCAGCACGACACCCAACAAACGCCACGACACCTATTCGGGTGGTCAGTTAAGACTGACTTTCCGTTCCCGGGGTGGACCATTGGCGAATTTGGACATCGACCCACATGCGATCCTTCCCGGCGTGCGTGCGTGACATGAGAGAACGGATGTGAGCGAACGGAGAACAAAATGCAGCAGGTTGGAAACGTGCGTAAGCCTATGGACGACAGATCATAAGATGGTTCCGGAGCCAAATTGCCGCAGACCCAGATCGGGAGGTTGTATGTTGGTGGTCAGCTACCGGTACACTACCGATATACGCAAGGCGCGGCCGCCGCTCATGTAAAGTGCCAAGGGCAAGGAGTTGTTCCCTTGACAAGACACACTGGCAGCCGTACTCGTGGCGAAAAAAAACATCGCACGTCGCACGACGATGAGTTTCTGGATGCGATTGACGGACCATATTGAAGTACTTGAGCACAACAAGTACCGGCTCAGTTGCGACTCGGCGACTGGACCCGCACATGAACGTACCTGCACCTGCCGCATCATCCTCAGCTTCCTCTTCCGCTTCGGGGTCTATGGCAGCATCTTCCTCTACAGCGAAGCCCTCCGGTGCAGCTGGCAAGCCCTGAGGTCCGGGCACAAGCGCATCGAGGCGGCCAGCTTCTTCAACTGCAAGATCCCTGCCAGGCCTCAGCTGATCTGGGTGATGGACGGCTTCTGCGCCAGCAGCAAATGCTGTGATATCGGGTATCAAACGTTCGCGGTTGACGACATCCGAGGGGGCTGGTGCCGAGGCAGCGGCCGGGCGCCACATGCCCACGAAACCATCCAATAATCCTTTGAAACGGGTTGCTGCTCGGGTGGCATAAGACCTAGCTTCCTCCGCTGTGTTGTGCCTGGCAGCGCCAGCAACGCGTGCGTGAGGCTTCGATGCCAAGGATGTTGCCGAGGAAGCATTGCCCGGCAATCCTCGGCTGCCTCTATTTGGCCCGTTGCCAATAGATCTGCCGTTACAGTGCTGGTTGGATTGCTCGCCATTTAAGGATTCATCCAAATTCTGTTGAAGCCCGTTGTTGCCAGCATGGTAGCGCAAGTAGCAAAGATATGCAGCCGAGGCCAAGGTGATAGCAGTAATGGAACCTGCAACGCAGATTGTTAAAGCTGGATCATCCCGCCGCGCTGTTGCAAACTGGCCCGGGCTGCCTGGTGAACTCATGCTTGGTCTCTCCAGATGAAAGCCAGGAGAATTAAAGCATTATGGCCAGATTTGACAATGAAAATACATATTGTAGCGTTGTTTTCTGGCTTGCTGGATATTGGAGCACCCGACACGCAGCGACGGAAAGCTGAGGACGGCAAAAAGTAACGCTTGCAGATTGTGGGCAAGTGCAATAAGGAAGGATACTCAAGCAGGGTTTTTGTTACGGGAGTCGCGAACAGCGCTAAAGAGAAGAAAGGTCGAAGCCGTAAGGGGAAGGGTGCCGAAACGGGTAGAGAGAGGACGGCCCTGTGTGTTCTATGGTCAAATACAAACTGGGTTCCGTAATCCTCCTGAGCCCCCAACTGTCTTCCTCCATCGCAAATGGGAAGCCGATTGGAACCGGTACGGGGAACTGCATGCTGTGCTCATGCTGCGCGCCAATCTGAACACGAATGAATCAACCGCAACGCCTATCCAGGGCAACTGTTTTTGCAACAGTTGTAACGCTTAGATAGATTGGTTGTGCCTGGTTGTGCTTTGTGCCAGTATAGGCGTCCAATGTAACTTTCGACAGGCTGCTTCGTGGCTGAGACCCTCCTTTCCATGATGCGTACCGGCGTAATTACTTAAACTCCTCTGATGCTTAGCCATAGTCTTTGGTTACCAAGGTTGCGCTGCACGTGCTGTCGCGGTCAGAATCGTAATAGCACAACTTAGGACATACCAGCTGCAGACAACAGGATGGCGGAAAACGATTATCATGCGAGCCAAGGTTATATCAAGCGGCTTGAGGTGGAAAATTTCAAATCCTACAAGGGTCACCACCGGATAGGCCCCTTCGTGTCCTTCACCGCCGTGATTGGGCCCAACGGCAGCGGCAAGTCAAACCTGATGGATGCCATCAGCTTTGTCCTAGGCGTCAAGACAACGCAGCTGCGCGGCTCCTTGAAGGAGCTGCTCTACAGCGACGGCGGTGCAACGACCAACCCACAGCCGCGAAGGGGCTTTGTAAAGCTGGTCTATGCTCTCCAGGTGAATTGACCAGAGCCCCTCTCCCTTGCTGACCCAAATCATCTCACCCTGGCCAACCAGCAACCAATCTACAACAGTAAAAATCGCATCGCTGTGCCGACGGACGCAACAATTCCTACGGCATGTCTACCTGGCCTCTTCCTGCCCCTTGCTTCTGCTCCTGCCTCTTGTTTTGGCCTTCTAGGAACGCAGCGACGGTGATCAACGGCTTTCAGAACGAGAGCTGAGCTTCGCCCGGGTCATCCTGCCAACCAGCTCCGACCAGGACGCGACCTTCAAAAGTGAATATCGAGTTGACGACCAGATCGTCACATGGGACGCCTATTGCAAGAAGCTGGCCACGTTGGGCATTCTGGTCAAGGTCCGAAACTTCCTGGTGTTCCAGGTGAGGGAGACGTAAGGGGGGAGGATGAGGCCCGGAAAGGGGGAGTTCGGGAGGGAGGTGGGGGTCGGGAGGGAGGTGGTTGTAGCTTCAAGTGTAGAGCCGGGCGTGGAAGAGCCTCCTATGAGGAGAACCTCCGGGCCTCGTGGTTTCCTGCAGGATTGGAGGAGGGATCAATCCTTACCCCTCACCCACCTCACCCTCAACCCACCTCACCCTCTACCCACGGCAGGGTGATATCGAGGCGGTGGCCGCCAAAAGCCCTCAAGGCCTCACCACCCTGTTCGAGCAAATCAGCGGCAGTGAGGCGCTGAGGGCTCGCTTCGATGAGCTGCTCGGAGCTAGGTCCCAGGCCGAGGAGAAGGTAAGAAGGGAGGGCGGCACATGCGCACTCGCGTCAGGCTCTTTCGGGGTTCCCTGGCTTGCTCTCGCCTTGGCCCGCGCTCGGCACCGCTCATCAACCCTGGCCTCACGGGTATTGGCACCTCTCCCTGTACCCTTGAGTTGCTGATGCAGGTGAGTCTGCTGTTCGCGAAGCGCAAGCAGATTCTTGCCGAGCTGAAGGCAAAGAAGAGGGAGAAGGAGGATGCGGAGAAGCACGCCAAGGCACTGGAGGAGCTGGTGAGGAGTGCGGGAGAGGAGGGGAAGGGAGAAGGAGGCAGGGAAAACAGGGGGAGGGAGAAGGAGGCAGGGGCAGGTGGGGGCCAAGAGGGGGCCCAAGAGGGGGGGCCAAGACTCGGGAGCAGCGGAACCGTGGGAGCAGACTCTGGGGAGAGGAGTGTGGAGTATTTGTGAGGCGCCAAAACTGGCCGCCGTGGGGTAGAGGATAGAGGGCTTATGCATGACGTCAGCACGCTTATCGAGAAGTTAGGCATTGCGTTAAGCAACCCAGGACGCCACTTCCTGTACCACATATGTGTATATGCACGTGTCTTGATTAAATGAGTTGCCATCGCGCTTGCTTTTGTGTATGTAAGTCTGTGTTTCCCCCGCCCCCTCCTTACCTCCTTCAAGCGTGAGTGGTTCGTGTTACCCCCCCCTCTTACTTGGGACGTCGGCAGTTGTTATCCTTGTTGCCTTTTGCATGTATCCCACCCCCACCCCGGCCCAGCCTATGCTTCGTCGTAACCCCCCCACCCTCCGGGCCTGCAGCGCGGTCTCAAGTCCGATATGGCTGTCTGGCAGCTGGCTGTGGAGGGTCGTAGTCTGTTGGAGGCCGTGGACGACCAGCGCCAGGCGGAGGAGGCGCTGGCAGCACTGCAGGTAAGGCCGGGTGGGGCGGGTGTCTTCTGGGTGGGAGCGGGAAGGAAAGAGGGAGGCTAGGGGTGCTAGAGGCGAAACCTATGTATGTATGTATGTATGTATGTATGTATGTGTCACGTGTAAACGAGAGGGGTTGAGGCTGAGGGTGTGTGCATGTGTATATTGCCCTCTCGACATACGACCTTCCCGCCGAATTCCTGAATAGCGTATGATTTAAAATCAGAAGGAAAGAAGAAGAATGCGTGCGCCTGCACTCGTGGGGGAAATTGCGGGAAGCGATCAGTAGATCAGAATGCGGGAAGAATTGGCGGTAATTAGTAAGGCCACATGCGGTTGTGCGCGGAGTGGGGTGAAGTACGGCAGTTACGAGTACGCCGTCGTACATTTATCGTCGTGGGATTATCAAGCCGGGCAGGGCCCAGGGTAGGTCACGTGAATGATCGTCGATGTGCAGACGTTCAACAACCTGGACTTCCGGGCTCTCCGGCTTTGTACGGTTCATAAGGCCGCTCAACCCCGTGCTCCCAGCTTTTCCTGCCTGCGGCGAGGAGGCCGATGTGGGTCTTTTCGCCCTGAGGCCATCCATCCATCCGTCAGTCAGTCAGTCAGTCCGCCAGTCAGGTGCAAGCTGAGCCCCGTACCGCGGACGGTGGGCTGCAAGGAGTTCATAAAGTGCCGTTTAATGGCAGAGTGTGTCGTCGTCCCTTGTCAAGCTTCTTCTTTACCTTGCTGAGGGAAACTACAGGGGACAACCCTAAAGGCTCGAACGCAAGTAGCCTATTTTTAAACCACTAGCCTATTCTTAAACTGCTGTTGTTTCAGTCCTTATCGCCGCTGCTGCCCGCCCGCTGCTGCATACTGACGGACGGACGGACGGACGGATGGACTGCAGAACGAGTCTCAGGGCCATGACGCCAAGGTACGTGTCTTCGTGTCCGTGTCCGTGTTCGCCCAGTACGTGTGTAGCCAAGTCCGCCCCGGGCTGTCCGGTACATGATGCGGCCGTACCTGTGCTGTTGCCAAATAGTTAGTCACCAGCTCTGTTCGGGTTGTGGGGAGTGCGCGCGAGTGTGTATGTGCGTGTCTTTCGCTTTTT